GGAGGAGGAGGAGGAGGAGGAGGAGGAGGAGGAGTTGGAGTTGGAGGGGACCTTGGAGGTCTTCCAGTCCAACCCCCTGCTCAAGCAAGAGACCCTATACTGTACCATTCCAGACAAATGGCTGTCCAATCTCTTCTTAAAAACCTCCAGCGATGGAGCACCTACAACTTCTGGAGGCAAGCCGTTCCACTGATTAATGTTTCTCGGTCAGGAAATTTCTTCGTTGGTCCTCTCCTTGATCAGTTTCCATCCGTTGCTTCTTGTTCTGGCTTCAGGTGCTTTGGAGAGTAGGCTGATCCCCACTTAAAGGAAACCATGTTGAAAAGAAGGGTTCCTACAACGCCCAGATCCAGAGAGCCCCCAGTCCATTTAACATAGTTAACAGGTTGTGTGAATCGTGGTGGCGCAGTGGTTAGAGGGCAGTACTTCAGGCTAACTCACTGCTCACGCCAGGAGTTTGATTATGAACGGCTCAAGGTTGACTCAGCCTTCCATCCTGGAAAAAGAAAGCCTCAGTCCCTTCGCAGACATTTGGAGAAAAATGGGTGGGGTTCTGCCTTCTCCCCTGGTATTATTCCCTGCGTCTCTGCCGAAGACTTTTTAAGGTGTCCTTTTAAATGACATTTAACATTCTTTTTTGCTTTGATATCTCTAAAAGCGGTTTCACGTCTTGGATCCTGTCTGGATTTTTCGGACGGACGGCTGACTTTTGAGCAAAAAAGACTCTCTGAAGTTGCTCTATTCCTTGAGACAAGCATTGCTGAGCTGCTGAAACCGTGACCAACCGAGCTGGCATTTTTGTTTTCCAGTCCTTGCCTCCCTCCCCAAAAGCGATCCCACGGAGCCGAGGGCTGCGTTCACACCGCTTACCAACCAGCAGATGCCCTCACCCCCAAAAGGCTAAGATTAGAAGCATTGGAACCATGGTTAACTAATGATAGTTAATCCTTAATAGGCTGCAGGGATTTACCTTTGTTGGTTTGTATATTACAGGTAAACGCTGGTCACTTAGTGACCGAACTTACCATGTCCACCTGTGCCCCCCCCCCCCAGTGTCATGTGGCTGCATTTTGGCACTCAGCAAATATATATTTGCATTTAAAGTTTCCAGCAAAAAATGCCCGTAATGAACAAGTTAATGACCATGCCGTCTGCTTTATGACCGCCATGTTTGTTTAACAACTGCTGCAAAATGGGGAAGATCATGTGATAACCTGCTTCACAACTGCCGTGATCAGAATGCGGGCTCAATTACAGTCATCAGTCGAGGGGAACCTGTATTCAGCATTGTGTAAATCCAGTAATCAGGTTGAGTAGAGTAGAGTAGAGTAGAGTAGAGTAGAGTAGAATAGAATAGAATAGAATAGAATAAATAGAATAGAATAGAATAAAGAGAGATGGAATAGAACAGAACAGAATAACAGAGTTGGAAGGGACCTTGGAGGTCTTCTAGTCCAACCCCCTGCTCAGGAAGGAAACCTAATACCATTTCAGACAAATGGCTGTCCAGTCTCTTCTTAAAAACTTCCCATGTTGGAGCATTCACCCCTTCTGGAGGCAGGTTGTTCCACTGGTTAATTGTTCTAACTGTCAGGAAGTTTCTCCTTAGTTCCAGGTTGCTTCTCTCCTTGGTTAGTTTCCATCCGTTGCTTCTTGTCCTGCCTTCAGGCGCTTTGGAGAAGAGCTTGACTCCCTCTTCTTTGGGGCAGCCCCTGAGATACTGGAACACTGCTATCCTGTCCCCCCTGGTCCTTCTCTTCATTAGACTAGACATCCCCAATTCCTGCAACCGTTCTTCATATGTTTTAGCCTCCAGTCCCCTGATCATCTTTGTTGCTCTTCTCTGTACTCTTTCTAGAGTCTCAACCTCTTTTTTACACCGTGGTGACCAAAATTGATGCCGTATTCCAAGTGTGGCCTTATCAAGGCCTTCTAAAGTGGTATTAGCACTTCACGTGATCTTGATTCTATCCCTCTGTTAATGCAGCCCAGCACTGTGTTGGCTTTTTGGGCAGCTGCAGCACACGGCTGGCTCATATCTAAGTGATTGTCCACTAGGACTCCGTGATCCCTCTCACAGTTACTACTATTGAGCAAGGTACCCCCTGTACTATACCTGTACATTTGGTTGGTGTCAATATTTGCAGGGATGGTGGAAAAAATGGGGAGGGGGAGATAGGTGGGACCCCAGGAGAACACGAAGGTCTAACCCATTTCCTTTTCCTGCAGTGGCTCCAAAGGGCCCCAAAATTATGATGACCCCCACAAGAGCCCGCGTTGGAGACACGGTCCGTATCCTGGTCCAAGGATTTCAGGTGTGTATGACACTCATCATCCCCCCTCCTTCCACTTCCCAAAATCCATCCCCCCCGCCCCAGCTCAAAGACCTCCTTTGCTTGTTAGGACCGTTTTGATGTTCATCTTCTAGGTCACTTCTGGGAATAATTGAATAGGCTTTTTTTAAAAAAAATGACTAAGACAGACAATTGTGTACCGAAGAAGACCAGCCAACTGTGAAAGAAACACCCGCATTAATTTGCTTGCTGTGACTAACTGGTCTTGCATACACCGAGGGGTGTTTGTTTGTGTGTATGTCGTGGCAGCTAAAAGTCAGATAAATTGATAGTCCTAGAAGCTTTCTTAGCTTCCCTTTTTTTTTTCCTGCCAGGTGTGTGAGAGACTTGAAAACTAACACACTGGGTGGCTGCTGCAGAGAGGGAGGGAAGGTGTGTATGTGTAGTTCTTCATGTGGCTCATCCCCTGTGGATTTGCTCTGCGACCCCAAGCATCTGGTGTAAAGTTGGCAAGCTTTGGATGGGTAGATGGATGGATGCTCTTGTGGATGGTCCTCAACCAGATGTTGTAGGAACACGTTCCAAGCCAAAGAGGCCAGTTCTCCATCAGTGTAGTGCACAGCTCACGTTCAGGCACCAAGTGTGACACCCTGGGTCTTTCTAGTGAAGGGGAAAGCGATTTATTCTCACACCTGACCCTGAGGTGGGCCTCCAGGGGGTGAACAGAGAGATGAAAACTCAGCAGAGGTGGAGAAGGACTATTGCTTAGAGCATCAACAATTCATCTCTGCTTCAAAGACTTAGAACAGGGGTCTTCAAACGTGGCCCTTTGATGACTGGTGGACTTCAACTCCCAGAATTCCTCAGCCAGGCACGCATGCCTGGCTGAGGAATTCTGGGAGTTGAAGTCCACAAGTCATAGAAGGGCCAAGTTTGAAGACCCCTGGCTTAGAAAGTGGAGAGCCGAGATGG